AGGGGCGCCGAGGAAGCGGGGGAGAGGGAATCGCTACCCCGGTGCTGATGGTTTTTGTGAGGAGCAGCAGTCAAATAAGAGGTCAAAGCATGATATTTAACCTCCTGTGCTCTATTTTAAACCGAGGAGAGGACAAAGCTATTTCGCTGGCACAAATGGAATAGAAAACACACTTCTGCGTTACCGCCGTGCTCTTCACAATGTGTTAGATTGAAAGCGATTTGTGCAGCAATATTATTTTTTTTCTCCTCGTTACAGTAAGTGGCAAAGTTGTCTGTCTGCTGAGGGCAAGAGTAACAGCTGCTGTTTACCAGGTGCAATTAAGGACCTGAAAGAGAAAAGGTATAAAGGAGAGGAAGTGACACACTATGTTCAAAAAGATCCATTCTATATTTCACCCCAATTCCCACCGAAGAAATGTGACAGATGACATCCCTTACTGTGATGGCACAGGTTCTGCGGTGAGATTGATCCGCAGCACTTCTATGTACGTCCTTGGAGATGAGCAGGAAAAAGTTAGTGAACCACTAAAAAAATGCAGAAGTACAACCAGCATCGACTCTTGCTTCCAGCCAAAAGAGGAAGACAGAGACTGGATGTACTCTAAGACTCAGGACTGCTTGAAGTACTTACAGGATCTGTTAGCCTTGAGGAAAAAATATCTTGACAACATCAATAACTTGAAAGCCAGGCATACGGCTGCGGATTCCCCAACATCCACAAAATCATCTAAAACTGGAAAGAAGGCATTTCTTCCACTTCCTTCCAAAGAGTCTTCTAAGGTAATTCCTAAGAACTTTAGATAAGTTCTTGGTCTTAAGCCATGAAGCAATTAGCTGTATGACCTATGTTGATTTGCTGCTTTATGCATCTCAGCTAGTTGTCTTTTTACTGTTACATCATTTGAAATATTGCTGAATACCTTAAGATTCTTTCTGACTAGTGTGAAATTAAGTATGAATGACTGGTCATGGAAAAAAATGTATGTGCCTATGTTTGTGTGGGAGGAGGGAAAATAGGAGAAGGAAAGAGGTATGAGAGTACGGGAAGTATCTGAAAACATGTTATGAAAGAGCGAGCTGTTGTCTCAGTACTCTGACAGGCTACTTAAGTGCCTCAGAGTTCTCCACTATAGTTATTTATAGCTGTTAATGACTGACAAGCACAGTAATTCCTGGGTTTACTGGCAGTCTTTTTACTGGCATAAAATTACACAAAATAATTATAAGTTCATTGGAACAAATAGGATTCTTTCTGACTGGTCAGATAGCTTGTCAGTGCCACATTTAGCATCAGCGCAAGCTCTACTGATAGGCTGCAGGGCATGAGGAATTCTTAAGGGTTCCTTTCTCTGTTCATTAATAAGTTGGCAGGTCATTTTGAGACAGTATAATACTTCACCCTTTACTGTAATGATACCACAAAAATAAAACTGAAATATCATATTTGGTACAGACTATTTCCATGTATCCTAGGGAGAAAAGCATCCCAAAACTTCCTCCTGGTTGCAGTTTATAGATTGTAGGTCACTAGAGAGTTCAGTGGTTCATTTGACGTGACTGGAGTCGGTGAGGACAAGGGAAAGGATTGTAGCAGGTGGGGTGACCTGTTTAGGTAACACAACCACAAACATGACTTTGACAGCAGACTTGCAGGTTAGCCAGTGCAGTCTTTAAACTGGGTGATAATGGGGATCGTGGGAAGAAGGGATGTATGGCTGACTTACTGATTAGGCCAGGTAGACTTTACCAAAAAGTTATTGCCACGTTTAGATGTTCTGTCACAGCAGAATGTCAGAATAGCTGAAGCTGAGCCATTCAGTCAGTGGGAGTTTTCATTTAGTTTTATTAGGCTTTATGTCATCTTTTTAATGCTTTGAACGGTGACTCTCAGAATCTAGGAATAATAGTGGGAAACAATACTCAGCTCAGTGGGCTGGAGAAGATAGACTTTATAAAGACATTATTATTTAGGGCCAGGGAAACATCCAAAGAGAATGACTGGGATATAGGAGAGTGGTCTGGTGGTGCCAGGTGCCAGGAGATTAATCTTAACACTATAGATACAGTCTGTGAACTGACTTTGTGCACTCTCACACAAAGATTGGCTTGAGACAAGCGAGATTTACAGCATGCCAGTTCCCTGATGAGCTGAGCAGTGATGTAGTGGAGCAGTACATAACTAACCATCAGCCAGGTGAGAAAAAATGAGTGCAAAAGGGTACTAAAACCGTGGACCAGGAAGGAGACTGGGAGATAGATTCTACACAACTACACTTCATGCAGGTTGGTGAATTTCTGAGGTTTGCCACTGAAAACACCACTTAAGGAAAATGCCACAAGCTTTATCTTGGGTTTGGCAAACAAGTGAATCTCCTGCAGGCTGAGGCTGAGTGCTGTCGTCTGACTGTGGCCAGCTAGCTCTTATGTATGACTAGCCCTGGTACTGCCTGGCATGCTAACTCCATGAGCTGTCTCCTTAGGAACGGACAGGGACATCAGCAGGTTATGCCACCCATATGAGTCATTCTTGCCAACATAAATGGCAGGGTCACAACTGCACAGCCCTGGCTTGGCAAAAATTAGGGAGAGGTCAACAAGACTTCTAGAATAGCCAGAATACTTTGCTCCCTAACTACAAATTTTGTGTTCACAGATTGCAAGGTTTGTCTTATCACCAGGCTTGAATGGTTTTGTCCCTAGCTACCTGTTTGTGCTAAAGTACCTGTTGGTGGAAATTTACTTCTTTCTCCTATGAGTAATGGGAAGATACTTTGTCCAGACAACCCTGTCCTCATGGGAGGTTTAATCCAAAGATCCCTGGGACCTGGACTACAGACAGACTGTGGATTCAAAATTTGCCACTTGGGTCTAGTGAGAGAAAAGAGTAGAGAGGTGGGTCAGATGCTGGCAGTACGTAGGTATTTCTTTAAAATGGCTTTTAACCAATAAGGGCTTAGTCATAATAGCAGTGACTATTTTCAGTAGATGTGTGGTAGCAGCTATCTTTTAGCACTTCTGAGGATGTCAATCAACCCCTAATGTCAGGAGGGGAATAAGCTGGCTTATCTCTCTGCCTCCACAGAAGAGGGAACAAGCTGGTCCTTCAGAGATGTGATACAGCGTGTATCCTTCGCTTGCATGTCTGAAACCCAAGGTAGCAATTTTCTGACTGGGTATGGCTACCTGGCGATACACCTAGCCTGGACTGGCAGGGAAAATACCTTCATTAGGTAGAGCCTGGCAGGAAGTATTCATCCCATATGGACCTACAGAATTGCTAACTGAGGCTTTATGACTGCTTCAGCATTTATAGACTGGCTTTTTTATCAAGACAGGCTCCTAATTTTAAACCTTGTGGCTTTCCTGTGGGAATTATCACAGTGTTGAATGACTCATATTTTAGCACACACACGGTCCTTTTCCATTTCAAAAAGACTTTAGCAATTTAGATCTGGAGTCATTTCACCTAGCCTAGGCATTTTAATAAGATGCTTAAATTAGTAACCAAGTTACCCCACAATCCCTTTGCAACTAAGAGAAAGAGCTGCCTGCAGAGGGGAATTCAGCTTACCTAAGACCTGACTCATCTTCTGAAGGTACAGGAGCCCTGCATTAATTACAGAAGGAACCCTGCATGACTTCATTTCTAATGTGCGTCTCATTAGGTGCCTACTGTTAGATAGAATAAATTTGGCCACTTAGCCACGTAATTAAACAGCCTGATATGGGGATTCTGAGAGACTTCATAACACCTGGTTAGCAGTGCCCAAGTGGAAGATGTTTGGTGTTGAGCATGTAACAAGATGGATGTTGGACTGCTGTCCTGCTTTTTTTGATGACTACAAACTGAGGAGTAGTCTCGACCTGTGTCCTTTACTGACAGCTTGAAGTATGTAATCAAATACAATTTTTGCAGCTTCCTTGTACAGTTCACTCATGAAGAAGTCACTATGCTCAACCCTTTGCTAACTCTTTTTCCCCCCTATCTGATCAACAGGCATCCATGGAGAGAAAAGGCCCACAGTCCAGTTCTGATGTAAGAGAGGCAATAGCTTTCTTTGACTCAGTTATTGCAGACCTGGATTCAGAGAGATGGCGGAGAATTCCTGACGTGGATCTGCCAAATGTGGATGTTGATTTTGATGGTGCGGTATAAACCAGTGAAAATATGATAATTTTGGTGTGCAGAGGGTAGAGGGAGGAGTGGCATTGTAAGATCATGTTTGTTTATTTAATGGACACATTTTTCCTCCAAGTTTTGCTTCCAAATCTAGGACTGTTAAATACCATTCATACAGTATGTGAAACTACAGTAATATATTGCTTGTTCCCTGTTGAAAGGATGCAACTGTTTTATGTGTGGCCATTACATGAGCACATGTAGCATGTGTAGTGCTGGGCTAGTGCTTGCCTTCTGCTCAAGGCAGAATTCCACCCTTGCATCTCTACCCTGAGCTGTCTTTGGAGGAGAGCTATAAAAAATATAAAGATAATTTTTTCTTCATCTGTTTTTCATTTTTCTCATTGAGAAATGTCTGGATGTTTTCTCTCCAACCAGCAAAAAAGAATTAGAGGTTAGGCTAAATAACAGTATATTTCCATCAGAAAGGATGGGATTGCCCAGCTAAATGATGATGTGCCTATCTGAGCTCATCATCTATCCTGTATAATCAGTGGAGAGAAACAGTCATTTCTCTCCTTTGTTTTAGGTTAAGGTGGATATCTGAAACAGGTTGGATTAGCTGTGCCCTAGAAGTATGTGTAAAGGGACTACTTCTGACATATGTATTTACACTGCAGGCACTGAAATATTAGGTAAGATGAATCCCATCCCAAGCGACATCCTGCGGTAAAACCAGGTTGGTTTCTCGGCATTACCTCCAGGAAGGACCCAGCAGGCACCCTGTTCTCTCACTGTGCGTGTAAAAATATCACTGGCAAACTAACACCAGATTATCTTCTGTCTTTCAGTTGCTACCAGCACAAGCGAACACAGTTTACATTCAAACTGGATCCTTCGTGCTCCCCGGAGATACTCACAAGATACTGCCCAAACAGCAAAGGCTGCAAACCAGTCTCAACGAAACAGCCAGCGGAGAACCACTGGCTCTAGGAAGAGGTTGGAAAGACATCCCATGTACTTGCCCAAAGCTGTGGAAGGGGCATATAGCACTTTAAAATTTAAGCCCAAAACACATAAGAAAGAATATTGAAAGAATATTCCTTGTTCAGCTGAAGATAGAATATATGAAATAGGACATGTAAGACATGCTTTTTATTTTTTTTTTTTTTACTTCTGATCCATCTCTTACACTCTAGAAGTGACATATGCAGTCACTGAAGGTTCATTGTGTGGGACGTATCTTAAGCCATGGCTATTCCAGCGTTGGACTCGTATGAGGGTTTAACTCATCGAGTTCATTGTGCCTAACAATACTGCTTTGTCATTCAGCTTCAGGGGAACTCCAAATTGACAAGCCTTTTTTCTAGACCTGTTATTGAAAGCAATGATTCAGAGATTGTCTGGTGCAGTAATTTCTCTTCTGACTCCAGTACTGCAAAGCAATTCAAGCAGTTCAGCAAATACGTTGGAGTTTTGCACCAGTGTTTCCAACTTCAGAGAAGTGAAGCAGAATTTTCTCCTTTTTTTTGCATGTGAAAATTTGTATGTGCCATCATTGCCTCTGTGATCTGAGAGTGTACAGCAGCACTGGGGTACAAGCAGGCTGTGGTGCAAGCAGAAAAAGCTGCAGTGAACGAAGCAGCATTAGAAACCTGTGTTTGGAGGAATTGCTCCAGTGTGTTTTGAAATAACAAGCTATGTTGTACTCTGCTTGCTCTTGGGAATGGTTCTGTCCTTGGATACATCAAACAATTCACTACATGCAAAAATGTATACAACTCTTTTCATATAGTTACACCACCTGCTAGTTTTCATCTATTTTACCACCCAGTTGCTGAATCTAGACATCCCAGTGTACACTAGAAAAGCTTAATGTCTTGGGGAAGAACACTTTGTGACTAAATTGGAGCAAAGGTTATTCTCAACAGCAGAAGACAATTTGCAGACAAATCCACCGCATCAGCTTTAGATTATACCCAATATTTGGAATTCTGCTGCTTCATCATTAAGGACTATATATTAGGAAGAATGCAGTCTAGGAGTGTTCTTCTTCAGACTCTTTCATCTTGGAGGTGATATGTCTTCCATGTGATACTTGGAATTGTTAAGACCCATACTCTACCTGTTTTACTGATGTACAGCAATGTAAAAATGCATAGAACGTGACAAGGACATAGCACCCTATGGAAATACTAACCTATGGCCTTTCCGATAGGGCAATACCATTTATATCACAGGCATCAGTCTGAGCCACATCCCCCACCTCATTCTTGCTAAGATGGTTGGGATCAAGCCTTTGCTTACTCTGATTTTTTTCATCTGGTGTTCAATCGGTGGTTCTCTGTGACTGATGCGTGATGGCAGCACCGGTATGACCAGCTGGTGATTCACTGGTGATTTCTTGTTTCTGTGTTCAGTTGTTTTTGTGTCCACAGGCTTGGATAAATTTCCTCAGGCACTGGCCATCGATACAACCCATCTGATATATCATAACCTCCATAAAACTTGTGCCCACCACACAGAACATTTGGCAGGTGGCAATTCTTGCTGATTTGTGTTCCTAGTCTTTGGGACTAAGTTATTCAAACAGCGTTTCTGCCAGAAGGTGGAAGTACCTCTCTCAGATCTCACTGATCTAGGACACTTTCTGTCATGAGACAGGAGAGTGCCAAAACCCCATATGTTCCTCCGTTCAGAGCTGGCATCTCCTGTTTGATTAAAGCATTGTGTTTCTTTTTCTGGTGGTGTTCATGAAGGGGAGGGAGGAATTGTCTCTGTAGCACTTTAATTCTGGAGGTGCTTTTGCCGCTTTTTATCTGGTCTGGATCCTCTTGAAAATGACCAGTTTAACCAACACCGCTGGTACATATTCATGAAGAGTTTAAATTAAGGTCTAGATTTTGTTCCCCTGCTGTTGGTGCTTCTCACGATTAGTCTGTATTCTCCATACAGTGTTGCTGCTTTTGTACCTCCCCAGTCCCGTCCTGACTGCCCTGAGCTGAACATCGTAACTGTCTTTAAAACTGTTCTGCTTTTGACATACGATCACGTAAGGCCGCTCAGCCAGGTCAGGTAGCCAGAGCACAGCCTGCTCCAAACACAGCCCTCATTCCTGGCATCCCTCAAGGCTGCAGCTCTGTGTATGTGTGAAAGAAGGGGGACACTGCTCAAAACCGCACATTTTTGGCAACTGTGTCACCCTGAAACCCCTCTGAAAGCAGGATCTCATGCTGAAGTTGCCCAGGAACATTTTTGGTGGGTGTGTGGTCACCTTTTTCCTACTAGAACCCGCAACATGGATGGATGCTGACAGAAAACCTCACCGTCTGCTTGAGTTACTCTATCTGAATTAAGCATGTACATAATTAAAATACTGATGAAAGAAGAAGAAAAGGATTCCAACGGTGTTCTGCCCAGGGCTGTGCTTCGTGTTCATAGTGCCAAGGTTTTACGTATTGGAGTAGCTGATCTATTTGATATTGATTTAAGGATGCACTGTGATGTGCAGAACCAGACTGCTTCAGCATGTTTGACCTTCCCCATGGCTTCTTGTCTGTCCTTGTAAAACAGAGGTATCTGTGGTCACCTGGCTGTGACAGAGGATGAGGGTCCCTCTGCTGTCCAGCACACAAACTCCAGTGTGAAATACGTGTTTGCTTTTATGAATAAGAGACAGAGGGGGAAAATAAGATTTGTAATTTCGATTTGGATTCTGTGATTATTTCTTTTTTTCCTTTTCTTAAAGCTCACTTCAAGCTTGTTATCATCTTAGGAAATTTTAATTAAGCGAGTAAAATAAAGTAGTTTTTCTCTAAGAACATTTTCTACCTCCTATCCCATAAATGCAGGCATCTTCCTTCTCCTTCTAGCATGTTAGTCCTTGTATGCTCCTCACTAGACACGGCTCGCCTCCAACAGAGCTATGGAGAGTGACCTGAGCATCACAGGGCACTCTCTGGGGAGGTGAGAGCTGGGGGTTCAAGCCCAGAAGCCGGGTCTTGTGCTACCTGTGCTTGAACAGGGCAGGTGAGCAGAAAGGGAGCAGAAGAGAGGAAAGACAAGCATTTCCATCCCCTGTGTTAGCTGCCTCCTCAGCGAAGGGTTTAGTGTGGATGGCAGCACCCTCTGTATTGCCCCGAGACAGACAGAGCCATGCCCTTGCCTAACACCAGCTCACTCTAGGCAGCTTTCCACGTCGTTTCCAGGAGCAGTTGGTTGCCCTACAAAAGTGGTCCTCAGCTGCTCTGAATTGTTCCCCCAAGGGCTTTGGAGGCATAGCTCTTTGCAGGGACACTAAAAGGGACCCTATCTGCCTTGGGTAGGCCCTCTAAATGACCTTGCTGCAACATGCGGTTGTTTTCAGGCATTGCAACGTTGAAATTAAGCATCTACTGTAGGTGCTCTGACAATGCAAATGGTACAGGAGAATTATTCATGACCAGCCGAGCTCTGTATGACCTAGATCCCTTGCAGAGATTATTAGTGAGCTCTTTCAGTAATGCCCCAGGCCCTGATAATGAAGTGCATGAACTAGGAGCTCTGTCGACCAAGGCTGCTGTGTGCAAGCGTTCCCCGCAGCACCGATCCGCAAAAGCTCTTTCCCAGAGTGCATTGAAGTAATAGGCAAGATGTCTAGGAGAGCATCTCTTGTTTTGTTGTTTCAAAACCAGCTCGGCTGGAGTACTGGGTTATTTCAGGTTCCTCTAGCTAGTGTCATTGCTGAGCACTAGCTCTGAAGGGGCTCTGGCTACGGATTTCTGTGACGCCACGTCCACAGCTGTCCGCAAGAAACTAAAGACGCTGTATACAAGATCCAGTAACTGAAGAGAGATGAACTCTGTTGAAGAAATGATGTCCTGGGGGATTCAAAATAATTTTGTCCTTTTGTGTTGAGCAACTCAGTGTAATCATGATGTGCATAAGAGAGCTGAAATTGTAAGCGTCTTTGGCAGAAACAGAAGAAATATAGACAGCTAATGGGAAGTTGGCAACTGGACAAGATGTACGCTCTGGTTTGAATCTTTCAGTGCCATAAAGTTACAGGGAAGGGAGATGGTGTCAGCACCACATTAAGTAACGCAGGAAGCCCTCCAAGGTAATGCACAGCGAAGATACAGAGCTATCTGCTGCTCCAGATTGAATGGGGTGTGTAAAAAATGTTAGATTAGCACATAGTGGATGTCTTCCAAGTTTTCACAGCTGTAGGGCCGGTTTGTAGTCCTGCTTGGGCAAATTCAGGAGATCACCTGTTATGTTTCCGTAGTGGGGCAGGTCCACAAGGAGCTGAAAGCAGCAGGAAGCTGGGCAGTCACAGCGGGCTGTGTTTAGGAGGCTTTTGCTCCCTTTTGGGCCTGTAGCTCTCAATTATGCCCATGGTAAGGAGGAACCAAGTTGCATCAAGTCAGTGGAATGGCTCTTGACTTATCTTGAGTTTAACAGCTAGAAAAACATGTTGTTCTGAAAGAAGAAATCAGAACATATGAGCCCAGCTTCTTAAGACTGGGCTGAGGAGCAGAGCGTAGGGTCTATTACTCGATTAGCAGTAATTTAGTGCACAGTGAAAAGTTTTCTACTAACGGCCTTGTCATATTAAAAAATTATCCATCTTTTTTTTTTTAAGGCAAGACCAGGCATCATCACCTGAATGGCTCGGTGATTATGATAACCTGACCCCTGTCAGAAAATGAGGTGACCTATTATAGAAAAAAATAAAAAAGAATTTATGGAATTAAGAGTGATGTGTTCCATCTTTTTATTAAAGTGAGACTGAAAAGGGAGCAAACCCTCACCAAGAAGCCTGTGCCCACTGCTGGGGAAGCACTGCAGGTGCTCCCAAAGTGAAATCGGTGATTGAGCAGGAAACTTTCACCAGTAAGTGCTGGGGACTGTCCCTTATCTCCGAGCAGCAGCTCTTGAAGATTTCTAGAAAGGTAGCTAAAACTGTCCCTTGGCCACACGGTGGCAGTTCATTCCTAGCTATTCTGCAGCCCTCCTAT